TGAATATTTCATCTCTTCTTGCAAGGAGTCTTTTTGTAATGGAAGCTTACTAACTTTAGACACATTAGCATGGCTTGAATTCAAGTCACATACAACAAATATTGCTGTGTTCTTAATGTAAATGGATAATAGGTTGGTAGAACAACAGGGGACAACTGCCTTGTATAAAACAGATTTATGCACTTATTTGTCAGCATTAAACAACAAAACATAGACCAAAGCATGAAATATAGAAAACTCTTATTGATACCTGCCTGGTCATAAATCTTAGATACTGTGGACAAATGAAATTCTCATTGACCTTGCATGATTGAGATGATATATCAGAGTAGCAGATGTAATTATGGATTCTATCCAAGGGCGAGCCTCAGGCATGGTTCTATCAATAGCCGATTTTCTGTACACCTGCAGAAAAAAAGAGCAAGCCTTTGGGAAAGAGATAGAAATTACACTGATATCATAGATTTTTATCATACAGAACTAGGCCATGGATATTGCTTGGAACAAACATTTTTTAAAATCAATTTCAAGGATGAGAGTTACAAATGAGAGTTTTTCCTGCCTTTACAACGTGGTGTTCTGTAAGCTCTCACATGTCATCTGTTATAACACTAAAACTAAAAGACCATCAACTAGACCTGATGTTTTAGGATATACATATGTCAACATCGTTGCATATTTCTGGGCAAATCTGATTTTCTGGCATACAGCATAATATTCGAGTCCGCGACTAGCAATAACTACGTTTTTTGTTCTGTTGTATCTGTGCAGGCTTTTCAAACTTTTATTGGGCCCCACTACCCAGTGGGGCATGGTGACATTTTTCCTACTGCCAAGCCTTAACTGTAGACTCAGTAGAACTGTGTGTGTAGATAGATACCAGCTGTCCCCCAACTCAAAAACAAGCAAATATAGGAACATTTTCCTATATGCATAATGATTTCCTTATAAGCCAATACAGTCAGGGGAAACCTGAGGCATTAAACAAAAACCCAACTTTTTCATCTACCTTCCTGTTTTGCAATGTTAGGTCTCCGAAAGGTGGAACAGACCCTTCAATTTTATTTCAAATTGATGATATCTATGTTTGGCAATACCAATGACTTAACGTAAATGAAAGATACTGACAATGTCATATCCTTTCATTGGGTCCCCTTCCAATTGGCATGGGTTAACTACTTGTTTGGCGGGGCATTGATGAGTAAGTTGCTATATTTATCCAATTAAGGAGCTCATCTATAACATTGGCATGGGTTAACTGCTTGTTTGGGTTAGGGGTTGATAATTGAGGTAATATACATTATATTGCCAAAAATATTGGGATGCCTGCCTTTACACGCACATGAACTTTAATGGCATCCCAGTTTTAGTCCATAGGGTCCAAAATTGAGTTGGCCCACCCTTTGCAGCGATAACAGCTTCAACTCTTCTGGGAAGAGGTCTTGGGATCCCCCAGATAGAGGCTGAGGCTATGGCCAAGGAAAGTCTGAGCTGGAATGCTTAATCTGCTGTCCGCCTTCTCTGCTAGGTTCAGGAGCTACTCCACCAATGTTTTTGGAGTTATTCCAACAATGTTCAATTGGTAAGGGCCCAAGAGCGAACCGATAAGGGAATAAATCCCTCTTTTAACCTAAAATGGTTGTTGGATCATCCAGGAAGGGGCTGAGTCCATGGCCAAGCAAAGGGAAATCTGAGCTTGCATGTTTAGCCTGCTGTCCCTCTTTTCCTCTAGATTCTGTAAAAAGAAAATTATAATGAAGCAGATAATGATGACTAATATCACCAGCCCCATTTAACTTAGTAGACTGAAAATGATAATGATGTAATAGCTAAGAGTACAAAACTTTCAGATAATTTGATTTCTCAGTGTACTTCTTTATGTTTTTTACATAATCCTTTTAGCTTGGAATGTTCTAACATACAGTATCTCTTTTCTCAGGAAAATCTATGTCTTTACTATTATAGTGTAACTTTTAGTCCAGCACATATCCCCCTTTTCCCAAATCTCCACTCCTAATCTCACTGCCATGACCCCCTGTAAGAACACTTTTTCTTCTCTGAAATTTAATCCACCTCTAAAATCCGAGACATGACCCATTTGTCATACATTTGTCAGCACATTTAACCTCATGTACCTTCTCAAAGTATGTAGACATGGTGGGTGCTTTATCCAGAATAACAAATAGAAAAGTGACATTGATTTCTTTGTAGAACCTGGCAGAATATACAGTTATCATTCACATACATTTTAGCTTTATTTTATTTATTTATGTATTTATCTATTTATTTCTTCATTGATTTATTTATTTTATGCTTTCGGTTACTGATCTTTACATTTTTTTTACAAATGAAATGGTATTGACTTGCATAAAGTTAAACACTAGGCAAATGGGCAGCACAGTGGCTAAATGGTTAGCACTTCCGCCTGGCAGTACTAGGGTTGTTGGTTTCTAATCCCAGCCACGGCACCTCCTGCCTGGAGTTTGCATGTTCTCCCTGTGTCTACTTGGGTTTCCTCCCACACTCCAAAGACATGCTGGTAGGTTAATTGGCTCCTGTCTAAATTGTCCCTAGTATGTGTATGTATGAATGTGAGTTAGGGACCTTAGATTGTACACCCCTTGAGGGTTAGGGACTGATGTGAATGTACAATATATATGTAAAGTGCTGTGTAAATTGATGGCGCTATATAAGTACCTGAAATAAATAAAAGAAACAAGTGAATACAGCTCTGTAATCATTAGTTCATTGTGGTGGGGCAGCAGAAAACACACACACACTCCGGGATTGCCAAAAATGATGTATTATAGAACTAAATAAAACAGTACAACAGTACAACAGTCCTCGCAGGGAAGCTCACTCGACCAGGGACACTTACAACAGTTCAGAGCAGAGGGTCAGTGGTGTATAGACCTGAGCGGAGTGTTCCCTGGGCACTCCAATCCAAACTCTACTCCTTCAGAACCCCTCCCTAACTCTAGTGCTGCTGCATTTGCCATTTGCAAAATGTGAGCAAAAACCCAGAGGCTTAAAAAGACTCTGCATGACCCAAGATGGCCACCAGGATCACCTGGATCCAGCAAATCCAACAGGATCACTGCTTCAGGGGACCAAGGAAACCATAGAGAAACCCAGTTTCTCCTGATTTCCTCCTCTAGTTGCAATGCCATTATGGACGAGTGCCACCTGCAGTGTAGACTGCACTTGCCTACCAGGGGTGGACTGACAACTAATGGGGCCCCTGGGCAATAGGGGATCATGGGGCCCCTGTGTCCTTGCCCAAACTCAAAAAAGCCTATGAAAAAGGTACCAGGGGCATCTCATGGGGCCCCCTACTGACCCCAGGCCCTCGGGCAGTGCCCGAGTTTCCAAATGGTCAGTCCGCCCCTGCTGCCTACAAGTGTAAGTACTTGAATTTCACCCACTTGTAGTTTTTGCATAGAAGGACTGGACTGTGAGAAGAAGCAGCAGAACAAATAGCCAATCAGTTTATGTGCTGAAAAGAAACATGCTGATAGGAAGAGATAGCAGAGTGAGCTAATCACTGTGCTGCTTCTCCTTTCACTGTCCTTTCACAGGATGACCTGGGCTCACAGGAAGTGGGTTGAATGGTTCTAGCCATCAGATTGCGGACAACTAGAGGCAAAAAGTAGGGTGTGGGAAATCACTGGAATATAGTTGATTGTTGCAGCAAAAGCGGTTTTGTTGATTTATCTTTTAATAGGCCATCTATATTTATTTGGTTATTTTTGTCTTGAGGCCTGCTTTAATTCTTGCATGCAAGCTCTGTTTTTAAAATATTATTTCCATTCAGCATGTAAATAAAACTCCAGTCAAATGTGGAAGTCCCTCTTTCAACGCAGTTCATTTCTTGTATTGCCATCATATTCTTAGCATAGCCCACCGTGTTTATTTGAGGAACACAAGATGATGCAATAACCGGCCCTCTAAACATGTGCTGTGACGCTTTTTAAAAACATTTTTGATGAAAGTGTTGATGCCGCAGATTACCGAATAAACCATTTTAGTTTAAAACATTTTAATTAGCTAACCAACATGTTTTATTTCAAAGCATTGCTTTTAACTTTTCGCTTCACAAAGCACATGCTAATCTTTGATTAGGATTGTTTTTGTTGCTAATCCTTCATGTTTTCTCTTTTCTTAGAATGTTCACATGAAAGAACGTAATGAGGGAATTTTTTTAAGGAAACTTAAATGTTAAAAATTAAAAAGGGAAATATCTTGAAAGATGTTAAAATACATATAAGGAGATATTTGTATGCTATTATTAAAAAAATAATAATTTTGATTTATTTATTTAATTTTTGTGATAATGACATTGCATGCAGTCACAGTACAATCTATAATGGGGGGGAACCTAAATGTTAAAATTGACAATGGAAATATCTTGGAAGACGTTAAAATACATATGAAAATATATTTTTATGTTATTTAAAAAATAATAATTTCATTTTGTATATTTTAGCGATAATGACACTGCATGCTGTCACTTTTCATTTTACAGGGGAGGGGGTGATAAGAGCTTATTGTTCATAAAAGTAGTTGTAAAGGTAGAAGGTTTTTTTTTTTTACCTTAATGCATTCTATGCATTAAAGTGTTTCTAAATCAGCAACAGTAAAATATCTGCAGTAAACAGGGGCGGACTGACAACTCATGGGGCCCCGGGCAATAGGGGATTATGGGGCCCCTGTGTCCTTGCCCAAACTCAAAAAAGCCTATGAAAAAGGTACCAGGGGCATCTCATGGGGCCCCCTACTGACCCCGGGCCCTCGGGCAGTGCACGAGTTTCCAAATGGTCAGTCCGCCCCTGGCAGTAAAGCATGCTTGTTATACTCACTGTGGAACCTAAGAAGTTAATCCTCTGCACTGTGTAAAAAGGCAGTTTGATCTGTCTTCTCTGCTCCTCCTCTTGTTCAAATGTCCACGTCTTATCTCCTGATAAGACAGACTGAACCGTATCCATTGTGCACATGCTCAGATTAGTGTGTATTGCTAGAGAGTTTTTTTTTTCTTGGGAGAGTGCATGTGATCAGCACAGGGCCAATCAGTACTGTTCAGACAGAGGTCAGGGCTTCTGCATCCTCCTAGAGCAGAACGAAAACTCCTCCAACAAACTTTAATCAGTGTTCTGCTGGACACTGATAGAAGTCACAAGACTGATCTAACTGCTGGTGAGAAAAAGGTATTTAGCAGTTTATATTTACTAAAATAATTGCACTTCCATGTTCTGTGTACTGTGGGAGACCAGATATAGTGACTGCAGGGTCTGGGGAGACCAGATATAGTGACTGCAGGGTCCCGGGAGACCAGATATAGTGAATGCAGGGTCCTAGAAGACCAGATATAGTGAATGCAGGGTCCGGGGAGTCCAGATATAGTGAATGCAGGGTCCCGGGAGACCAGATATAGTGAATGCAGGGTCCCGGGAGACCAGATATAGTAATGCAGGGTCCTGGGAGACCAGATATAGTGACTGCAGGGTCCGGGGAGACCAGATATAGTGAATGCAGGGGTCCCGGGAGACCAGATATAGTGAATGCAGGGTCCTGGGAGACCAGATATAGTGACTGCAGGGTCCCGGGAGACCAGATATAGTGAATGCAGGGTCCTAGGAGACCAGATATAGTGACTGCAGGGTCCCGGGAGACCAGATATAGTGAATGCAGGATCCTAGGAGACCAGATATAGTGAATGCAGAGTCTGGGGTTTAGTAGCACTTTAAAGTAAAAAATATTCCTTGTGCAGCTCCCACTCCAGCTCCTCCTTTTATTTACCTGAGACAGATCTCGATCCAGGGCTGTGCACGAGAGCTCTCTCCTCTCTCTCAGACCTCATAGGCTCATAGACAGCAGTGGGAGCCATTGGCTCCCACTGCTGTCAATCAAATCCAGTGACAAGGGAGGGGGACGGGGCCGAGGTGCACTGTATGTGTCTATAGACACACATAACCCGGTTCAGTATCAAGCCTGCACATGTACCACCATAGGAAGTGGCTTTCTATGGTGGCACAAAGAGGAGGAGCCAGGAGCACTGATGGAGAAGCTGAGAAGAGGAGGATCGGGGTTGCTCTGTGCAGGGCACGTAAGTATGACATGTTTGCTATTTTAAAGAAAAAAAACTTTAGGTTTACAATTACTCTAAATGAGTGAATTACGGCTATTGAAACACTCACATTATCTTTTGAATGATGGTGAGAGGTATAAGTAGTATTCCTGGAGACCAGGAGAAACAAAGAGGATGAATCTCACCAGAGGTACAGCAATAAAAATCTAACAGAGGTTTTACCACATAACAATGGCTTAGGATATACTTTAAGGAAAACTGCCAGAAGGCAATATCTCTATTTTCTATCTTGCTGTGGACCATTTGGCTGAAAAAAAATAATATTCCATATTAATATTTGGCCTGCAGCAAGTCTAAAAATCTCCTAGTGACCTTCTGACTTGAGAAAACTGAGGTGTCAACTGTGCATTTTCAGTAGTACAGTTCTTCTAATGCAGATGCTGTCAAAAATAATCCACAGCGGATTTTTAACTTTTAGTGCAGGGATTTCTTGAATCAATGGGGCTGGTTTATTAAAGGCAAATAGATGTGCCCCTTGCAAGTGCAGCTGCTCCAGAGCTTAGTAAATGAGCAGAAGCTCCGCTGACTTCTTTCACCAATCATGTGCGAGCAAAAGTGCTGTCATTTTTATTTTCATTGCATTTGATTGGGAATTCTTTGCAAAGTGAAGCTTCACCTCATTTACTAAGCTCTGGAGCAAAGTGCCCAGTCTATTTGCCTTTAGTAAATCAACCCCAATGAAACCTTAAGAAAAGAACCACACCTTTAGTGTTTCAAACCAAATGATATTTATGGTACCAAAATCCCTCCTGAGATGTGTGCAGGGGCGGACTGACCATTTGGAAACTCGGGCACTGCCCGAGGGCCCGGGGTCAGTAGGGGGCCCCATGAGATAACCCTGGTACCTTTTTCATAGTTTTTTTTTTAATTTGGGAAAGGACACAGGGGCCCCATGATCCCCTATTGCCCGGGGGCCCCCATGAGTTGTCAGTCCACTCCTGGATGTGTGCAAACCTGGTGGCCAGCTACAGGAAACGTCTGACCTCTGTGATTGCCAACAAGGGATTTGCCATCAAGTACTAAGTCATGTTTTGTGAAGGGGATCAAATACTTATTTCCCTCATGAACATGCAGATCAGTCATCATTTGTTAGACATGCATTTCTTTTGATTTCTTTGTTGCTATTCTGTCTCTCAGTGTTACAATACACCGAACATTCGATTTTTACACTGATGATTTCTTTGTGAGTGGGCAAACATTCAAAATCAGCAGGGGATCAAATACGTATTTCCTTCACTGTATCTGTCTTTAGTAAATCAACCCCACTGTGTCTTGCATGTGGCTTCTCCAGAAGGCATTACTGCTGCTGTGCCAGGACCTGGGGTTCTCCAAAACCTCTTGGTTTAAGCTTTGCAAGATTCGCAACCCAAAATGTATGATCAATACAGCTAAGGAGAGGAAAGGAGAAGTGATGGAAAGAGGTAGTCATCTGTGCTGCAGTGTAAGGAGCATGCTGATTGGAGGAGAGAGCATGGTGAAAGAAAGATGAGCTCATCAATGAACTGCTTCACCTTTCACTGTCCATTCACAGCATGGGGGGAAACCTGAAAGTGAGAATAAAAGGTAAGTTAACTTCATAGAAAAAAAAAAGCACATTTTTTTTACAGATAAAAAATGTGCTTTTATTATTATTATTATTATTATTTTATATACTGTCAGTTGATCATAGGTGCAGTGTCGGTTCCTGCAGACTCTCATAAAGCTGTCTGCAAGTAACTCCCGTGCGGGCAGGCATGTACTGTCTAGGAAGTCCAGGAAGCTCAATGAACTATGAGAGTGCTCACTCGCACCCTTGCAGTTCATTGACAACCACAAGCCATCAGCCACAATGGCAAATGTTACTTGCAGTTCATTCATTTGCGTGAATGAATGATGTGGTCATGTGGGCGGAGCCCCAAACAGCCGTGCCAGTTTAAAATTGTGACAGCGGGTGCAGGGATAGGACTTGGGGGGGGAAGTGGATAGAAAATCAAGCCCCCCACCCACCAGGCTAGGCAATGCTGTACTGTGTGGCAAAACTGTGTACATCTCAGGAGTGGATGGATAGAAATACAAATATTTTGGCAGGTAAAATAGTTCTTATAAAGTATATGCAGGGGCGGATTGACCATTTGGAAACTGGGGCACTGCCCGAGGGCCCGGAGTCAGTAGGGGGCCCCATGAGATGCCCCTGGTACCTTTTTCATAGGCTTTTTTGAGTTTGGGCAAGGACACAGGGGCCCCATGATCCCCTATTGCCCGGGGGCCCCCATGAGTTGTCAGTCCGCCCCTGAGTATATGTATTTATCCAAGTGTTTAGCTGTTTGCCTGGAGTTCAGTTTTGTTCATCATTTTTCTATGGATCAGTTGTTATCGCTTTTACAGTCTTCTTTGCAAATAGAAAAAGTTTACTTTATTAACATTATCTGTCTAAACCATATATATGTTCTAAGCACATAAATCTGGCAGGCAATTGAATATGCATAAATTTCCTTGACAAGTGAGAGGTTAATCCTGACACTTTATCTGATGGGTAGAATAATAAACAGACACGAGGCATGATGGGTAGAGATAATGTAGACAAAGCTTTAGCGGATGGGCAGATACATAGATAAAGTCACTGGGTCTACATAGGCACACGTTGGGAAAAACACAATCGTGTATTAGTATCAGTCATTTGGGTAAGATCATTTCAAAGCTGATATCGATTTTCTTGTGAATTTATGGGCAAGGTCAGAGAGCTGAAGATAATAAATGAGAAAAGATGCTCGGTCCTCCTCGTTGTCGGGATGAAGAATGACTACGATCTTTGATATAGTCATTTGTCAGTCCTATACATCATTCGGTCCTCCTTTTATAACAGCAGTTGACTGTCTAGTAGAGGTAATTGGTTGTGAAAACATGGAAGGAGTATGGGTGTGTATAAATAAATAAATAAAACAATTAAAAAAAAAAAGGTGTAAATGTAATACTTACCGACATGATTTTGAGCAGTAATGTTGCTTGACAGCCTGATAAAAATAATTAACTTTGCAAGTAGTACTTATCATTTACCTGCTGCCATTATGCTCATAGAGACCTTCTGAAAGTATCCTTGTTATCCAATTAGAAATCAGTTTATTGCCATGGGATAACATGGGAAAATTTAGATACACAATTTTACAAAATGATGTATCATTTTGTAAAATTGTGTATCTAAATCCAAAAAAACAAAAATGTGATATAATGCAGCTTACCAGTTCGTAGATGTGGTGGCTCCATTTGTTTTTTTTTACTTTCTTTTTCTCTTTATTTTAAAGCAGAACTTTATCCATAACAACTGGATAAAAAAATGTTCTTAAGTAAGGAACATACATTCCACATTAATAAATATGCTACTAAAATTAGTGTGTGCAGTAAATTGCCTCCAGCATTGTTCCTGATTCTTCTTGCTGGAGGAGGCCATTTTGTTGAAGCTTAGAGCTACTGGGCAGCAATAATTCTTTAGGCTGTCAGCAGATCAACCTCTAAAAATTTGGCAGAGTACCTGAAAATAGAGAGCAACTGAGCATGTGCAGAGCATAGGTGCTTATGTTTAATGTTTTACATAGTTATACCTGCAAAAGGGGCCAGCCTGAAGTGACTTAATTTTCTGATTAAAGTTTCGCTTTAACTTTGTGATTCTGCCAGTAACACACTCCCTGTCCTGTCCATATTTTAAGGGGTTTATGCATAAAAAAAATCACTGTATGAACGCCTCAAGCATTCACAGAGCTGTCACAGCCTTAACTTGCCTATTATATTATTTTCCTTTGATTGCCAGCTCCATCTAATGGCCATAATGTAGTATTTTCCTGATTGAGGTATTTCAGGAAATGACCACAATATGGCCACATGACGGAGCTGATGATTATAGGAAATAAACCACCTATTAGGCAAATTATGGTGAATGTTTGGGTTTGCTGTGCAAAATGCTTGAGACATTCAC